AATTCCCAACAGATGTCAGGTGGTGCAGTACCAGCTAAACAATGTGATTTCTCCAGTGGTGTAGGGCACAGACACCCCGTGATAATGCGGCATGTCTCATTATGAGCCACATCTACCCTTTTAGTGCGGTGAGATGTGTTCCACACTGGGTATGCGTACTCAACAGCAGAGTAGCAAAGTGCAAGGGTAGATGTCTTTACTGTGTCTGGTTGTGATCCCCAGGTTATACCAATCATAGTGTTGGAAGAGACCTCATGGGCCATCCAGTCCAACTCCATTCTGCCAAGAAGCAGGAAAATTGCATTCAAAGCACCCCAACAGATGGCCATCCAGCTTCTGTTTAAAAGCTACCAAAGAAGGAGCCTCTACCGCACTCTGGGGCAGAGAGTTCCACTGCTGAACAGCTCTCACAGTCAGGAAGTTCTTCCTAATTGTTAGGCGGAATCTCTTTTCTTGATCCAGGGTCTGGAGAACAAGCCCTATGAGGAGCGGCTTCAAGACCTGGGCATGTTTAGCCTGAAGAAGAGAAGGCTGAGAGGAGACAGGATGAGGGCCATTTATAAATATGAGAGGGGAAATCCTAGAGAAAAGGGAGCAAGCTTGTTTTCTGCTGCCTTGGAGACTAGGACGCAGTGGGACAATGGCTTCAAACTACAGGAAAGGAAGGTGATTCCACCTGAACACTAAGGAAGAACTTCCTAACTATGAGAGCTGTTCAGCAGTGGAACTCTCTCTCTTCCCCGGAGGGAGTGTGGTGGAGGCTCCTTCTTTGNATACTATAGATGAAGAAATGTTCTCAGGACAAAATCAGATAATATTATAACAACTTTTGTGGCTCTTCAGAGAGACCCATCATATGTTCCCTCTGACTTTTCCATGGTATTGTTAAGGGATGATGCTAAATGTGTGGTTATCCCATGCGGTCCAGAGCATGGAGAAAGGTTAGGCAATATTTAAGATTATCTTAGAGTTAAGGGAGAGGTCAATGTGTGCTCACTGTCTTTCCCAATGGAGCCGCGGACTCTGGGGCTCAAATTTTGGGGGTCTAATCTTTGATAACAATAGAAGCTGTAGTTTTAAAAGGAGTTAAGCTGCTTCTGCCAAAGATTGAATTTGCCATATCAAACTACAAATCCCAGTGCTCCATAGCCTTGAGACACGGCAGTTAAAGTGGTGTCAGACCGCATTTATTCTCTTATTGGAAACTCTCCTAAGTGCTGAATTCTATTCCTAATTATGTGCAGCACTTTGGAGAGCTCTGGCTGGCATGGGAGCAACTAGCTTGTTGTTGTTTTTTGTTGTTGTTCATTTGT